TGTTGTGCAGACTTTTTAATCCCCTTCCAACTTCCTTCAAATTTGCATTTTTGTGCGCTTTTGCACGTATGCTAATTGCAAAAAGACATATTGGCAAGAGGCTGTCTGCGTGTGTGCGTTTGTGTGTTTGCACTTTTTGTCATCCACTTTCAACTCGAGAACCAGAAAAGCTAGAAGGCTGAAGCTTTGAAAGTATATGCCTACACCATGCGCGACCCTCTAGTTTTAATGTCATTGTGCGCCTACGCCTGGGTGCAGCGTACGAAAGTCTTAAAAAAATATACAAATTTTTGGTGGGAAAGCGATCTCGGAAACCAAGGTCAAGGGCTAAAACTACGGGACATGGATATTTCAAGGAAGCGAAGTTGGAGGCTCTACCCCCTTCATCTTGTTCAGTTGCCCTTCGGTTTCCTGTAAAATATGCAAATGTCCCGTCTCCTGGCTCGAGCTCCCCCCCTCTGCGACATTTAATGTGATGATTGTAAATGAAATTGTTATTGTAATTGTGAAGCTGGAAGTGTGCGGCGGCAGCTTGGAGCTGCTGCCGCTTGAAACTATCGCGTGTGTCCGGTAGGAGCCTGGAACTGCTGTCGGGCGGTCTCGGGTTCGTCGCGCTCTTTTTAAATATTTTTCTTTGTGTGATTGCACTAATAAAGAAGTGAGTCTTATTGCTTGGCGTTGCTCAGCTGCCGGAGCGCTTCCCCGCAGCCAGGCAGCCCAGCTTCAGGTCCTCCTCCTCCAGAACGTTACATATTTCCTGTGCATGTGTGAGTTAAAGATTTCAAATTCAGCCTTCAGTTGTGCGTGGTATTCAAGTAAGAGCGTGTGGAATTTATGGCAGGAAAATTAATAACTCGGGAAACGGAAAAGCTAGAAGCTGAAGTTTTAGGATAATGTTCTCTGTCCAAGCACAATTTAAATATTTCAAGTTCAGTCTTCAGGTGTACGTGGTACGTACGAGCACGCAAAAGGTTTGGCGAGAAAATTACTAACTTGGAAACCAGAAAAGTTGAAAAACTGAAATTTTGGGGAATGTTCCCTGTTTAAATACAACCTGGAGTTCCTCATATTCAGTTTGCGTGATTCTCGCGTATGGGCAGTTGCAAGTTTGGCGGGAAAACTGCTCGCTGAACAGTTAGGTTACTTTCAAAGAACGACCGTTAAATGGAAATTGTTCATTTCCTTTATACAAAAATTTATGGTGACTTACGTTAGTAAGCCGTAAAACAACAACGATCTATGCAGTAATGACCTGAGTACTTCAAGTCTGGTGCAAAACACATGATCGCACCGGCAAGCCTAATGCATTTCAACCTGGGTTTCAATGAACAAGCATACACCAGAAAACGAGAGGGCTTCACGCAAAAAAATTGACAATCATGTGCGCCAGAAATCCACGTGTCCGCGTGATGCAACACTTTCATTCCTTACGGCGCACTTTTCCTTTATATGCAGGAAAAAGTCAAGAAAAAAAAACAGCCAATATGAGTTCAAGTGTTAAACGGCAGCGTAGGGACCATTCATGCTATCGTCGATCTGCAAGTTTTGCGGAAAAACGAATAATCACACCGGCAAGCCTAGTGAGTTATAGCCTGGGTTTAGTTTACAGTGCAAGGACTAGCCGAATGACCAAGTAAACTTTTCAAGCTAATGATGCCGCTCCACTGTTCCTACACGCTGATCGAAGCTGTGCTAAGTACTCCGATCCTGCGCTGCACACCTTCAGTTAGTACCCACCGCCTGTCTGGAGCATGTTTGTCAGAACGGTATTACTCATTACTGCGCTATGTCCATCGGTTGTCAGCAAAGCAGTCAGGATATCCTACCTATCGGACTTTACTTTCTCGCTTGGCCGCAGTTTGCGTGATTATTATTTTCTATTTCCTATTAACTGCAAACCAATCTTTGGTTCTAGGTATCACTGACGATATTTCTGGTGAGCTCGTTCAGTCCATACGAAACTCGTACGCAAGCGGAACTGCCAACGCGGCTTTCACTATATAACAGCTTATGGTTTACTTTATCGTCATTCATGCAGCAGGGTACGGATATCTTACCGCGGTAATCTCTTCTTGGCCTACTTCAAACAGGATAGGTCGTTTTGTCCTCTCATTTCGGATCAAGCCTTTTCTCTTTTTCCTGCTTTTCAGAGCACCTTCAGGACGAATTGCAAGCAGTGCCTGGTGGTTCTTCACTTTAAT